GTGCGCGCATGGTGTTCCTCACAGGAAATTGTCTCGTCTGTTCCATGAGAAGACTGCCGTTCTTGAAAGCCCGCATCGTGTTCGCCCAGGCCTCGCTGCTCGAATAGACGAAGCTACCATCGATCCAGCTCGTCACTTTATTTATCTGCAACCTCACGTATTCAAAGCTACTTCTCACGATTCTGTTTCGAGGAATCAAGAAGCGCTTTCGATATAACGCTTCACCGGAAAGTAAGACGGAAAAACAAAGTGATTACGTTTCGCAAAAGGAAACTGTGAAACTCATAACTCGTGAATGCACGTAAACGTGACTAAACATTGTACGGTAATAATTTAAAGACTTATTCGGTGTGTATCGTTACCGTCCTCGGTGAAAGTCAAATAAAGTCGAGGGTCTCCCGGAAATAAACTCGTAGAAGTTTCTCGGCAAAATTCACCCGAGACAACTGGAAATTACCTGTTCCCGTGGGCTATTGGGGCTGCGCCCAGTTTGACGGTCGTAATCCGCTCGGAGGAATGGAATGTACTTATTACCTTGGCACTCCTTGTCAAAAACCGGATCACATTTATCCACATCGATTCGATGAAATTCTATGGGGCAACCACTTTCGCTGGCCATGATTATCTCCGACGTGACCAGCTGTCCTGAAAAAGATTTACCACTTCGGGAATGACGCAAAAGTTCCGGCAAGCACGCTATGAAATTTGGCTTCAATGTCGGTTTTATCATGGTTTTATTTGAATCCATCAGGACAATTTACTCGATTAAATTGGTTTACATATTTGTGAGGAAAGCGGATCATAAAGCGGATTTAAGAGACACGAAAATTAAATATACTTTTAGATATGTTTTTAGATAGAAGAAGAATTATGTATGAAATATTATGATAATAGACAAATAATACATATAATAAGAGTATGTTGTAAATTAAATCATTAAAATACCTGTAAAATAACTATGATATAATTAATAATGATCTATTATACATAATTACGAGAATTAAATTAATCCTACATTGGCGATACTTCCTGTATTATGTTACGGACTGCTATCTAGAGGCTATCTCTCATGATTCGATTATATTAAAAATTTTAACAATTTACATTCTTATTGAATGAAGGCAATTATAAATATTGTAGTATATAAGAATCTGTAGATAATTATGTTTAATTAGGTATAGATAAAAGTTATTTAGATAAATATGTATTACTATATTATACAACCGATGTTTCAAAGAGAAAAATTTAAATTATAAAACTCTCGTTGAAACAAATAAATATAACGAAAAAATAAATTAATTCAATAAAAAAATTAGTCTTAATTAAATTTCAATTGAAAATTTAGCTGTTCCGACACTATCTTTATATTGATAAAAATAAAAAAAGTCATTTATATTCAAGGCTTATTTGCGGTCTCCTATATCTTGTATACTTCTGCTAAACAATAATAGCCACATTATATTATTTGTAATTATGCTCACCGAAAAAAGCGAATAATGCGGTCCTATTTTTCACAGACGGCAGACCATCGTCACCTTTCATGAACAGATCGCTGAGTTTCCGAGGGGATGGTCTGTCTTGGCCAGCCATCGCGTACACGCCATCGGAGTACGCTGCCGGGACTTTTCGGATTAACCTACTGTCTATGGTGAATCGTACATGTATGAGTCGTATTAAGATAATTTTTCATGGTGAATTACCTTCTGTGCGCACAAGATTGTCGCTTTCTCATCTCTTTTCAAGATATACTCTTTGCATGTTATATAGTAATTAATCAATTTTCATAATCTTCTTTTTCATTTAAATTTTGCTTGATGTAAAATGTACGAAGTATAATGTTTCAATTATGCATACATGCATAACTTTTATAACGTAACTCTCGGTTATCTGCAGTTTTATCAAAATCAAGGTAAGCGAAACCTCGCATTAGTCAGAATATCGAGTTTAAGATTAAAAATAAAGGTAAAAAAGGTTTCAATAAAATATCAATATAAATAATATAAAATAAAATTCCTCTCAAATAAAGTATCTCGTTAAAATTCCTTTATGTGTTGGCTAATTTATTTAATAAAAAATAAATCTTTCCTAGCGATTTTATTGAAAAACGACAATCTTGACAAAACAGTGTAGGCATTTGAATTTCAATCTACAATCTCGAGTACTTGCCGATTGCTCCCCAATCAGGATGAGCCAGATTGTTGTAAAATCCATCGTACCTCTGTTTATTGTCCGCATAGTTGTATCCCGCATCTAAAATAGCATTCTTTATGTAGGCAGATAAATTCGTTGCATACATTAAAATTTAAGTTTTGCAATATCGTTATTCGATGGACAATCGATCGGCAGAATCGGCGATTATGTTAAATCGTAAAAGAGTTAACGATCGTCCATAAATCGGCGAACGGTATAAAAAATAAGGGTATAAAACATAAAATACATCCGGCTTTTTGATTGTGCAATTGTCCAAGTAGCATAACGCGAATCCGTTTCACAAAATACAATTAGAGATGATGAAAATATTTTGACGATGACGATACATAGAATCGAAAGAAAATAAAAAATGGAACACGAGTTGAACACCGCGAAATTAGCTATGTCTCGCAATTTAGTTTGCTTTCTAATGTTTGTCTTGCATATATAAATATAAATATATGAATATAAATATTACGAAATGTATTAGAAAGAACGATATTTCGAAATGATTAATATTATTATTAAATTAATTTTGTCATTTATTACTAAATTTATTGCTAAATTATTGCGTCTGTAATTTAATTTATATTAAATCACATGATCTACTTTTTAATAATATTAGTTTAAAAATATTAGTTCATTAAATTTTTTAATTAATTTAAAAATATTAATTTATTAAAAATATGATATGACATTATCGCGCGGAATAAAAAATGCATTCACGCAAATCATCCCACTCTCTGGTGCCTTCTGCATTTCGTATTGATTAGATTTCAACGATTCTTTTACAAATCGCAAGATTTATAATCGTGCAAGTGAGAGAATGACAGATTGGACCTACCAGTTCTAGTAGGTAATACGATCCAAAGTACCCAAATGATCACCCAGAGAGGAGCGATGTGACGGGCAGACCGTCGTCGTCTCATCATCGTCAAATGTCACTTGGTCTCGCCCTCGGATCTATGCATTTCTCTGCCACGTAGCTTCTACTCTTCTTCTGCCTTTCTGAGATTCTTTCGCGGAATCAGCAACGTCTTCGGGAACACATTTCGCTAGTACCATCCATCAACAAGATGAGAGTGCACTGACCGCCGTCGTGCGAAATCTCGGATTGTCTTCCGAAAGCGACTCGACGGACAGAGAGCAAGTAACACGCGGGTCGTGTCGGCACCACCTGGTCGAAATCCAAGGTATTAACGTCACCGTGCGCTGATCTTTCGGTTGCCCCAGATGTAACGATCACGTGCGAGCGCACGACGAAAGATCGCGTGTCCACAGGATACACCTCATGCGTCTCTTTAAACGAGATTCGCGTCCACGTTTTAAGGTAGACCCGTCGAAGAAACGAACCGCAGGATCTTACAAGAAGAAGCACCGATGGAGGACGCGATCGATTGACGATTCGCTCGAAGGCCCCAAGAATAGTTGGTTGTCTCTCCGACTGTGAGCCGATCCGCCACCACACAGTCGCTCTTGGTCGCGGCTTGGTGAAAGTCGCCGGCCTATTTGTTTCGTTACCGCGCGCACCTCTGTCTGCCTTCTCCTCCTTCGTACCTCCCCCTCTTGACGTCTCCACCGCTACAACGTCGTCGTCCTCTATGTCAGTGTTCTTCAATCCTTTTTTTTTTGCAAAAAGATAAAAAAAAGAATAGACGGAGCATTCATAAGAATATTTGTGAGAAAGATACTCTTACATCTTTTTTGTTAATCGATTTAAGAATCAAATTCTGCTTTAATTAAAATTATCGCAATTACAAACGAATCTCTTTTGTTCAGAAGAGACCAATTCCCACAAATTGTGGAAATCAACCGAGGATTATCTTTGGAAGGATAGGTTTTAAATTAGGCTCTCTAATTGGCCGGTTCGTGAGAATGACATTTAAAGAGAGAATACTAAGATATATGTTGCAGTTTCATGTGTCGGTTGAAAAACCACTGTTCTTGGTACGTCGTACATATGGAAGATACACACACCAAGACGCATCGCGCGATGCGGCGCGGCCGACGTCATTGCGGGCGCAGGCCTAGTTTTCGAAGTCCACGGCACCGATTACCCAAGGCGAAACCTCTCTCGAGTCCCCGCTGGTCGTTCCAAGGTCGCCGAATGGGCCGAAGACCACCATGCCGATGCGCACGTTAGAGATGAGACAACAAGCGGCGCATTCGTGTATATAATCGCAGCGTTCTCTCTAATGACTTCTTCCTTTTTAGATGCGGTCGAATGGAAATGACAAGAAAAATCCGTGTCACCAACGTTCTTATGCGCTCTTCTCTTACGAGCCAGCAAATGGCACGGTCGGAAAAGGTAGGATAATATATTAATGCATACGTTACATGTGTAATTAATCTCGCAAGGTAGTTTGTGGTATAGTTTGCATCGATATATTGATATATGAACATTGTATCTAACGTCATCGAATATCATATTCAAAAGATACAGAAATTTAAAAAAAATCTAACATCTAAAGAGCGTTTGAAACGATAAGAATGTATTTATGATTTCTAGACGATTGCATCGTCTCGCATAATTATTATCCGTAATTAAGTACCCTAATTAAGCCATTGCACCCACACGCTCATTATTTCTCATATCAAAAATGTAGATTTGTATTTTAATCCTCTGATCTCTGTAACTATTTATACGGGTCTTAATTAAACGTGATGAATCTACTTATCCGGAAAGATGCGCGGCGATGGTGTTGCCAGAGAGACAAAAGGTGCGGCTTTATGACACAATCTGAGAGAAATCGCGTCTACTGATCGATCTTTTATTGCCCTTGGCACGAATAGGCAGAAAAAACCGTAAAAAAAATCACAAACGCATTTATTGATGCAGTTGCTTCTTCGTTCCAGAGATGCGAGGTTTTTCACCCTCTCCTGTTACGATAAAGACTCCTCGACTTCGCTGATTTACGATGTGGAATATCGTTTGAATAAATTATAATGCATTTTTTGCTGACATCTTCTCGATCACATTATTCCTTGAAAATTAATTATTGCAATTTATCCTTCGATCTATGCAAAAGAATTTTTTATTCGCACCATCATCTTCATACATCCTCGAACAAAAACGTTTTCGTTTCGCAGAAAGAGATCATCGCAAATTACTCGCGATTCTTCGAAAGAAAATAACATAAATCGTGCTTTCGTTCGTGCTTTTTTTTATCGTATCGAGAAGTAAAACTCGTCTGTGCTCGGCGCGATTTTCATTGAAAATAACATTTCGATCCAGTGCTGAAATGACAAAGTAAGATACATACATTCTGTATTTTCGCACATATCCACTCGCATTCAATCCGAGCAGACGGACGGAGAGATCGCGAGTATACCGAGTATAGCGGTCACTTGGAGTTCGAGTTCGAAGGATAGTAGTAAACCACCGCCGGGGCCGGTAGCTGCCAATGTGCGGCGTGGAGTTCGATCAGCTGGAGGAGCGTTCGCTTGACAGGAGGCAACGTCGTCTCCTCCGCCAGGAAAGCGTCGCGCACGCCGCCGAGCAGCTGCTGCAGCTGCGCGGGTAGTTCTGCGGCCAGGTCCTTACCGATGCACGTGAGGATGACAAACAGGCAATTCGTCTATGGTACACAAGTGTAATTAGAAAAATAAATTAATCTCTTACTGTAATTACTTTTTATTGAAAAAATCAAATATTCAAGAAAATTAAAGTTCAAAAATCAAATAAGTTTATTGGCAAATTTGATCTTCGATCAAGTTTCTTATTTGTTTGTCATAAATAGATTTATAAACATGATTCATGCTTTCACTGAAGACTATGAATTTTGTATTAATCTAAGAATCATAATAAATTCTAGCTCAGTTAGATCAACTATTATAAATAAAAATTAAACAATTATCAAGAGATAAAAATTAACATTTCTTTAGAATTAAAATGAAGAAATGTCAGGGACAAGTTATACAATCGGATAAATTTCTTTTTATCATAGAATACTTTGTGTCATTAGTCAGTTAATTTTCGAGGTCTTACCTCGGCGAGCGAGTTAATGACGGGTGGTTGCAGACAATCCTGACAACATTTCCAAAGCAGCGTGAGGAGCACGCGTCCGGGAGGAACGCCCTCTTGTTGCGTCTTCAGCTGTAGCTGCCGTCGCTTTAGCTGCAATTACGCGATTATGCACGTGTATGCGGGTACAATCAAGCATGTTTTTGCTGTTGTAATATGCGGTAAGAGCGATAAAAAAAGAAGATTTACAAATGTGAATTATTAAAACAAACGCGCGGAGTCAAATTTTTACATTAAATCGAAAGGACTGATCCGCTTCTTTTATTACTCGGAGAATCATTAAAGATAAATGCCTTGACGAATCGGTAAACGTTTCTTACGGAGAGATAATATATATGTGCATAATGAATAATGATGCAAAAAAAACAACAAATTGTACGGGTAATTATACCTGGCAATACATCTCGTTGAGAAATGTCATAAAGGCCGAGTATCGATAACAGGTCGTATTATCGTATAACAATCTAGCGCGATCCTGATACCACTGCTGACAGGTATTTAGCAAGGATTCCAAAAAAGTTTCCTTCATTTCTTTCTGTACAATGCACACGTAAAAATTTAAATTAAATATACATTTCTTATTATGTATATAAATCACACATATATACATATATACAAATTATAAGATTATCGTTTAAATTTAAAACTATTAAAAGAGAAAATGAAATTACAATTTTTACACACATATAAAATAGAAAATAAAATAAAATAAAAAATGCGAATAACAGCAATATTTCGTAAATGATTATAATCGTAAATGACTATATTTTTTTTAAATAATATTTATTTGTTATTAAAAATTATAAAATAAAATAAAAATTTAATTTTTCAGATTTTTTCTTATCTCTATTTCTTGTATAGTTTGTGAAAAGAAAAATATATTGGTAGCCAAAACGAGAATGTTCGTCTATCAATGATTTTTTTTACAAAGAAGAAGAATGAAAAGATATATAATAACCTCTATAATTGTGATGCAAACTTTAGCTGCCGGTTCGGCATATTTGCGACTTCCCATTACCCTTTCCAGGATATGCCGCACTAGTTCCATCAATGTTCTCGCGTTTAAAAGATTCGGATCTGTCAAAAAATTTATCAATTACTCAATTTTTTTTAACTGCTAAATAACATTTTTTTATACAGAAAATTTCACGCAATCATCGATTCATATATTTGCCCATTTTGGTTACTAATTCGTATTCTTAGATTATGTTATAAATAAAGTCTACATATGTACTATTCGAGATTGGAACAATACTAGTTTATTCAAATCTTTTTAACTTAATATATTCGAACAATAGGCAAATTGTTGTATTACCTTCTATCGCTCGCAAGAGTATATCTTGAACAGGTGAAGGAAATTTTCCGAGTTCGGAAGCATCTGCGATGTTGAATGCCTTAGCAGTTAATACATCTGAATTCAAGCTCTTGGGACGCTTTAGACCATAAGTGGATACAAAGGTATGCGACTTAGTAAGCTTGCCTGGTTTTACGGAATTCGTCTTGACTTCATTTTGATCTACGTTGAAGTGTACTCTATTTGTAGCCTGATGAAAAAAAATTTTCAATTAATTTTTATAATCAATATTCGAAGATTTCAAGAATATTGAACCGTTGATTTTACATTCAATACAAATTTTTCACTTCTGATATATACGGTATCTTGTATTCCAGAATTTCCTTGCATTCTACTTACGTGTAAGATGTTTCCGCTGGATGCGGACGTGTCCAAAGGATGGGACTGACGTAACATAGAATTCGTTGTCGAATGATGGCTACTTTGAGAATGACGAGGTGAGAGTTGATGTTGCTGCTGCAGAGGATGCTGCAGCTGTTGCTGAGCATAGAGATATCGGTGAATGTTACCACTCGACTTGCTGTGCTGTATATAATACGTGGAGCGCTCGGATGCGTTAATTCGAGACCTGTTCATTCATATTATTTATAAGATTAATCTAAAGAATCCTATTTAAAATTTTATAAAGTTTCGGCCATCGTCGAATCAATCATTTCATCGAAAAATATCTCATATTAATATATTACTGTTAATATAATAGCAATACTAATAATTTAACAATAAAACGATAAAAAGCTGAAAATTTTAAGAATATGTTGCTATTAATTCCTACATGATTAATTAAAATGTCTGGAAATGTGATTATTCCAGAGTTAATGATTATTATGGCTTAACAATTTATTGAAATAATTCGAATTATCGAAGACTTAATATATATCAAGGCGAAAAATTTTAACATGCTGGTATTTTATTTTTGTTATTGTTTTATATTTTGTATTTTTAAATATAGGCTACTAAAAAATCTGAACTACGTTGGAAAATGAAAAGTAATTTGATAAAATAAAAATTTCATATGACAATGTTTCTTAAATATAGTTCATTGGTTCACACTCACTTAGAAAGATGTGAATCGTTTTGCTTCATAGTAAATTCCTTGGCGTGCACGTTTAAACGGAGATTAGTGACGTTCGCCGTGGTCCCTTCCGCTCTCCCACCTAAAGGCGACCATGAAATCAAACAACGACGTGCATGTGCAATGACACATTGAGGCTTACGACACGCATTTGTCACCTAAAGCGAGAAAGTACGAACCTGGGGGTCGATATATTTCTAGGGACGGTTTGGACTTGGGAGTAGATAAGTTAGTGCTTCCTTTCTGCGGAACCGCATCCCTCATCTAAAGAGAACACAAAAAAACACATCATATATAAAAAGAAAAATACTGTCTTCTCGAAAGCTAAGTGTGTATGAGCCTGAGACCGGGAAAAATTTTTCTTCCGCTGCAAAATCGTGCAACGAAACGATAATTGAAAATAATTGCGTCGTTTGTATCATTGAAAGCTAATATTAACTTTTCAGACTGTTGCCACTTATGCAAATGTAAAACGTAGGCAAGATGATTCACCCAAAACGTAAGAAAGTAAGAATGTTAGTGGGAGTGTTGCCTCGTTTTGATTTTTAATAATCATAATTATACATATATATTTAGTTTCATTTCATCATATTTTATTTTAAACATAATAACGAAAAATATACTTGCTAAAATAAAATAATAACGTAATGTTTTTAAGTGTACATACAGTATATTGTATCTTATATCTCAATAAAAATAATTGTAATATTAGAAAATGAGCTAGAGTTGATATAATAGACACTTCAATAGTAATGAAAATTATTTTTAAAGAATATATTTTATTAGAAGGCGCTAAAAGTTGCAATATTTTAGAATCATAATTTTTAAATCTATTATTTTTAAGATTTTTCAAGATCAACACTTTGTATAACAAAATAATCTAATATCAAATAAAATTTTCTCTTTTTTGACAGAGAATTCAATCTTCGATTTCTTTTTCGTCAAGAATGTCTTCATCATTTATTGGCAAGTTTAAGTCCTTGATTACAAAATCTAAAGTTTCAAAATAATACTTCTAATCCAGCAAAATCTTGGCATTCACTTCTCACATTTGTAAACATTATATTGCATGTGCATTATTCACTATGTGTATAACTATGTATATAAGAACGTGTCCACCGCAAAGAACGCACATAAGTACATTTTCTCATTGTAGTGCACATTACAATACATGCAATGAACGCTTTGACTAAATGTGCAGAGACTCGTTATGATAACAAGTCGCGAAGCACGCGGGATAAACGTGTCATAAACGATACACATCGTGGACACGGCATTAAGTGCGTGGGTTTAATATACGCACTAATCTATTTTCACGGACAATTTTATATTATGGGGACATTAATTTGAAAATATTACAAAAAATATAATAGTTCATATTAAATTAGCTTGTCTCTCATTGTCTTGTACATCATTTTTCTCAAAAATAAAACATAAAATCTCAAAGTAAAACATATTTCATCCAAATTTCTTATTTCACATCCCATTTCAATTATCGCAATGTAAAATTAATTTTTAAAATTTCGAAAAGAGAGGTATTTTAGAAATTTATATTTAAATGTCTTCTTTCTTTTTTCAATTGTGATAAAAATCCGCATCATTACATACAATTCTTCATTTCACACGTGATCTTTCTATCCACTTAATTATAAGATTGATATATCATTTTATTTCAAATTAGTCATTACAAAAAAGATGCATTTTTATATTAGCGTTATTCAATTATTCAATATCTATAATTTTTGAAAAATTACTTGTAATACTTTTTTCTCTTAAAATAAAATAAAATAAAATGATTTTATACATTAGATAAAAAATTAGAGGATATATATCACATATATTTTATCACCATTAAAATCCCGCTCGTGACATTTATTGACAATTGAAAATGCCCAGAAATATCGTAAATATAAAATGCCGTTCAACGTAGAACATATCGCTCGATGAATCGGAAACAGATGTTGGAACCGGTGTAATTTCGATGAGTTGAGATTTCGAAATTACATATTTATTACCTATACTATATTTCGAATTTGATCGAGCCGTTCTCTAGCATCGGTAAGAGTTCTCAATTGACCGTCTCTGTCTGTCCTAAGCGCGGAATTAGAAAGAGACAGAGAGAATCGGTTAAGCTACACTTAACTTCAATTAATTATTACAACAATCTCTCCACGCGTTTGCTCACCGACAATCGAAAGAGAACACTCGGTGCAAGATGCGCCTCCTCTCCCGTACAAAATATTAAAAAGAGATCAAAATTATATCGCGTATCCCAATCTTTCGGACAAGAAGCGTCGAAGAGGAATGGAGGGGAGAAGCACTCACAGTGAAGAGCGTGCGAGAATCATCCTTCCCGAGGTCCACACAGAGCGGAAGCTGCGAAAATCCTTGTTCTCGCGCACGGATCACCGGGACAAGAACACACGGGAACACACGGGAAGTTCCGGCACGCACGTGCAACACGGAGATGAATTTCCCGGCGGTGCGAGTCTCTCTTTCACGGCGAGAGGCGCGACTTTTCCGCGTCGTTGTCGTCGTCGTCGTGTCGTTAGTCGTGGTCGTCGTAGTCGTCGCCTCTTTGCTCGCGCACGCAGAGGTTCCTCTCCGATGACCGAGGACTAATAATAGCACGGCGTAGCCACGAGCGAGCGAGCATAGCGTTATATATCTCTGCGCGATGTACGTATTAATGCCACGTACGTATTAATGTATATACGTCGTTGCACCGCGTGAGGAAAGCAGATTGGAATATATCCCGAATAGATTCATCGCGACGGAAACGTGCGTCGCGACGCCTCTCGAAATCGTCGATCAAAATCGCGCGCTTTTCTCTCTCTCTCTCTCTTTCTTTCTCTTTTTATCATTTCCGCACCACGCGACGAACCAAAAATGGTGATTGCTTTTGGTACCGGCGTCTTAAACCGGCGACCGGCGTACAGTTGAAAGATTCTTGGATCAATTTCGTCCAAGATTTGGAACTGGATTCGGACCAAGAGAACAAGTATAAATAAATATCAATGAACAAGCCTTAATTCACTCAATTTTTTAAAAATCTTTTAAAATGTATAAAATGATTCTTTTTAAATAAAAATATTAAATAATGCTTCTCTATTGATTTTGTGATTTTGTCATATTTGCTTTTTCGCAATTTTTAATTCTCAATTTATCATGGTTTTATCATAAATGGTCGCATGAGTGTCGGTGAAATTGTCTTCGGCAAAGGACACAGATAAAGATAGCCTTCTTTCTGTAGCTTTACATTGGACCATATTTAGTGGATATAAATTTACATCTTCTATATTCGTGCGCAGAGTGCTAAAGACTTTAACATCTCTTTTCTTACATATATATACATAAACAAGTTGCATATAAAGATGCATTTCCTTTATAATTATTTTGATTTATTCCAAGGGATTGCTATTAATAAAATATTCATATTAATCATTAACATTTGCGTTAACGGAATATAAAATACATTTATTTATAAGTTTTATCTCGCTGAGAATGAATAAAAAATTTTATTCTCAATAAGATACTTACTTTTTATAATAAATTGACTTATAATGCGCTATTATAACTTCAGCGGACTTAGACTTTCATACGGTTTTTATCGTAAACGCAAACTTTAATGCATTTATTTCCATACGGTTCCTATCGTGAACGAAAACTTTGTTTTACGTTGAAGAGAATGGATTCGTTGTCGATTCGTTTCTGCATGAAATGTCATCGAGATTTTAGCCTATTTTTACAATATTAATGCTTTGATTATCAGATTACAGGAATTGATTATAAAATTATAACAAATTCAAAATAATTCGAAATTTCGCTATTGATATATCGTATAAAATAAGAAAATAGACTCTAATAACGCGATTTAAAAAGAGCGAGCGACAAGAAATGATTAAAAATCAATTTTAAAACCTCACATTTGCATTTTTATAGCTTCGTCTTTGCAAAAATTATGATAATATAAACCGCCTCACCTTCGTCGTGCGAGTTGCCCGTACCATTCTGGTTGTATGTATTTGTCATCGAATACCGGATGAGAATCGATCCAGCGACGTGTCAAACATTAATAGGTTTTTTTATGATGTATACGATCTGATGTAAAAACAATTCTAATTTTATATAAAAATCCACTGTTTTCTTTCTAAATATGCGTTTATAAGTTCTTCAAAATTTCAGTTATCAATAAAAAGTTCAGCTAATTCCTCGCTGTATTTATTTCACAATACTTTTGTCTCTCATCAGTTCTCTTGTAATTTTGCTGAATCTTTCACGTTTTACCGGTCATTTCGACGAAATTATCGATAATCGGAGGAATGTTATTAGTCCAGAATATTACTCTTACACCAGTCTTGCGAAGTAAATATTTCAAACTTCAACGACAAAATGCGCGATGCATTGCGATCTACGTTCGATCCGGTCGATCGATCATCTGGTGAACCGCGACCGAATCGCGTCACTCTTGATCGTTGCGTTACATCGTTTCTCGATAATTATCACGATGATTCATCTCGTTCGAAACTACGCGTCGAATGGCTACATGATAAACAATATTTTCTTCGATATATTTCGTCCGTTAAAAATTGTTGTATGTAAATCATTGAATTGGAACGAGATTTCTTCAATCTCTCGATGCAAGTCACAGAAAGTCACTCGGTGTCGATGCTGTCACGCTGATGACTGGAAATACGGCGTGCACATGTAACATGTCTTAATATGCGGTTCGCGTGGTGGGCGATCACCTAGGCATCGCCCCCGTATACCTGTCGACATGAAGAACACCGATGGAAAAGATGTAAAGGCCACAACACGATAGAACTAGAAAAAATCAATTCTTTTTTAAATTCATCATAGCAAGCAAATATATATAAAAGCAATTTCATTTTTTAATTGCGACGCAAACAATTTGATAGACCATAAAATATTTTCGAAAAAAAAAAAAAAAAAAAAAAATATATATATATATATATATATATATATATATATGTATGTATGTATGTATGTATGTATGTACGTATGTACGTATGTATGTATGTACATTTGTTAAATACGTCAACTACACAAATATTACATTTCTATCAAAGTAAATGAATTGAAGCAATTATAAAAGTTGTGATAATGATCGACAAAAATTTTAAACTAAAAAAAAAATGATACATTTCTTACTAAAAATATTGTTTTTCAAAAATTTCTTTTAAATTGAATGATTACTTTGTTAGATACTATATTAAATTAAGAGCGAATCTTACAATAATAATTTTATTTACGCGACTTATAGAAAATATTAAAAAATAAAAATAAAAATAAAAATGATTATATACATGTGCGACAAGAATGTCTCTCACAAATTGTTATATATTTATTTATAGATACGATTTATAGAGGATTACAAATCATAGTAGTGATAAGTTAATCTTGAGTCTACAGTTTTAATCTTAATTGGAAGCATAAATCATTCACTTTTCTGCCTATATTCTGGCTAGACTTCGTTATATATCATTCGATGATATTTTCCGGCTCTTAAATAACTAATATTTCATATTGCAAATAAATATGCGTTTTGTTTGCGCAGTATATATAAAACTAATCATTGAGTTATTAATTTTCCTATTGAAATAGAGTTATAGAGCTGAATCGGCAAATCGATTTCTAACGCGTAACATTGTCAATTCTCGTTATATCGTTTGCATACTTTGTACTGATATCCGTCAGCCCAAATAATCAAAGATGCACAAACAACGATATTCTTGCATAAGAATTATTATAACGAGCGCACATAATTACACTTATGTTGCAAAAAATCATACACACATATATGATTAACATTGAATTCTTGGCTAACGCATCAGAAGTGAGCGTGAAATATAAGAAATTTATCTCTCTCTTTCTCTACGCTACAATAATAGTACAGAAGGCTAATTTCTCCCCTATAGTAAAATAATCAGCACCAAAGTTTCCTTGAGAGCACGTCAATCGAGTTATGAGAATCTATCTACAAAGTTCTCTCATTTAGACGCACTCTCGATATTTTTCGTTCGTAACAAATGCCCTGACTTCGTAAACAAGATTCGTTATGTGAAATTTGGGGGGAAGCAACAATACGCGTACACAGTTGTACGAGGCAGTGAGTAGCGATTTTCACACGTTTTCTGGCATGCTTTAATTTAAAGCGAATCTTAGGTAACAGTTTATACAGCAGTTTTGGTATTATATCAAAATCTGATAGTGGGTAACTTAGGACGTAATTGGTATCTCTTTTACGTATAGTAAATTTCAGTACACACACCATCGAGCGTACGTAATATACATCTTCAAATAGCGTCTTGACAACTCTGTAGGCACATTCCCGATTTAACATTGAAAATACATGTCTTTTCAAGTACACACATGACAATCGACGAAATTTTCATTGTTTCTCTCTAAATACACATTTCCCTCATAGTATAGTACAATTGTAGGGTAACATAATTTTATAATGTATATTATACGCGCTTACTTATGTAGACATAGTCGAAATGCAACTTATCTACAACGTTTCTAGGAAAAAAAATATTTAAAAGGAAGAAAGATGTCAGAGGCAACGTTACATCTCGACTATGGTGTTCATTATAAATAATTAAAAGATATATTTGCCGGCTATAGAGCATGGCCTATTGAACACTTGGGTACTTCGGAGCTTTTATAAGCGGCTTTTACAGTCGCTCTTGCTTATGTCTATTTTTTCTACTGTGTTCTGTAAGTAAAATCATTATCTATATACATTTTATATATGTATACATTAATGTACGTAACATAAGAACAAGTATAAAATACTCATTCGGATGGAAAGTCAATGTTTCGCAGTAACATTGTTACCATGGTAACTTGTTCTCATCTTGTACCAGTCTGACTTTTCAGATTTAATATCAATATCTTATATTGAGAACAACCTGTCATGGAACTAGGAATACAATCTGTATAGGTATATAATATTTTTTGTCTTTTTCACTTTCAATCACAGAATGATAATGATTTGTCTTATTTCAAAACATTTATATAAATTAAATTTTTAATAATTAATGAATTTCAAAAATTGATAAATAATTAAAATTTTAATATTATAATATTATAATTGTTACTTAATATTTTAATCATTTTTTCTTAAAAGTTGCAAAGAATGACAACGTTCTTCTCATTTCAAAATATTGATATTTAATTATATATATGACTATTTAACAGAATGTTTTTTTCTAGCGAATATAAAATATGTTGTAATTAAATTTGCGATAGGAACTTTTTCATCGTGTAAATGCAATTCCATTGTACCCTTATATATTTCATCTCTTTATAATTATTATTATTATTTAGGCGAACTATTTTTTATTGCCATGGAAACGTTATTACTGCTGAAAATATTTTCCACAGATGATATAAGAAATATTTTCTCCTAACAGACAATGGTATATGGAACAAACCTGGAGCGGCGGAGCGGTTGTGGTAGCATTTCTTTCGAAAGTTTTCTTGTCAGAGTAATTAACGTTAACCATTAAATCGTAATTGGGAGGATAGTTGTAAATATATAAAATAAGTTTATATTATAGAGAGACATATATGTTATATATAAATCTTCAGATGTAAAAATATTATCAAGATTAAGTCTTTAGCATCTAATAATTATATAGCTTCTTATGTTTCAAGCATGTTATGCTTGAATATTTTCAAGTTTTTGAAAGCTTATCTTAGTTAAACCACAGTACAAATTATGATATTACATGAATAATAACATGATTGCTGCATTAATATTTGTAAAAATTTATGCATTAATAATCCAATGCAAGACATATTTTTATTAAATCTGTTATGTAAAAAAATAGGGAGACGTAATCTGTGTATTATGTAATTATGTAACATAGTATACTTCCTTGCAGATTATTTTAAAGGCTATTCAATAAAATTTTAACTACTTAAAGCGCTACCAGATAACTGCTGCGTCGCTGTTAAATTATATAGTATTAACCTTTTTTTACTCAAACCAAATATACAAATATATAAAAAAAAAAGATTAGCTAAATATGTAATTGCTGGATATTCAGTAAAGTAATCATGGATATTGCATCCATTCCCTAACTATTCCCTCTAAATTATAAAACCCCTCCCTGAGCATTATGAATATCCAGCAATTGGGCAAAAATACTATCTACTAATCCGATAGCAATGGTTAGCCTATCTCAATCATCATCTCTGTATCTTCCATATTGCTGTGGCCGACTCCACCATGCCTAAAAAATTATTGTTCATACTATTTTTTAATTTGAATACTTTATAACACAAAGTCCTATATAGAAAACATACAATCAATAATATAAAGGATTTTAAATTTTTGTATTCTAACCTGTGACTCGGCAAATGCGTATTGTGAAGATGGAGATGCGTTGTCCTAGGTGAAAAACCGCGCGAAGTTGCTTTACGGGGACTTCTGGCTTTTATAACTCGTGGCTGTGACACAGTAGTTAGGTATCGTGATTGTTGCGAATACACATCCTCCAAAATGCTTGGTGCTACATATGTAAATCCCTGAAAAAGAGCATTTGCATTATTAAAACAGAATCATTATGACTAGTTCATGTGGATGGTTGAGTATGCATAAACATGTTAAACATATAGATTCAGAAGAAAAAAAAAAACTCACCTGGAATACTCTATTAGCCGATTCGCTTAAAGTGCATTCTACTGGTGAATCTATTGGTGCTGAAGCAGTAAATTTCTTATCAAATTGCGATACGTCATCTTCACTAGCCAATATTGGTTTAAAAGGAGGTTCTAATTTTCGAGATATAACATCATCCCAATTGATATGTTTGAAAAATTTGTGTGCTTTTACTTGTTCGCCATCCAGTGAGCCAGATCCCAATCTTTGCGCAACTGGTCTCTATAAAAGCCAATTATATATTTATATATTATCATAGTAAGAATTATATTTGAAAAAAGTATATTTGTATGTTTCATATAATGAAAAGATGTATACGTAGTGTACAAGTATTAAAATTATAAGATTTGATAAAATAATATAATTAATCATCAATTTAATACTAACTTTTAATAATTTCCGAAGAAGATCTTTAGCATCGGGTGTTAGATATTGAGGAAGAATCAATTTACCACGTAGAATTTTGTCAATTGTTTTTTTTCTATTATCCGAGGTAAATGGTGGCTGAAAAATTTGATAATATCAAATAATACTATGTAACAATACACAGTACTTTATGATTATGTATGTAAAAACTATACATACAAGTCCTGTAAGCATGTCGTACATTAAAGTTCCCAAGCTCCACCAATCGACTGCTTTTCCATGTCCATTTCTTGTTAAGATTTCAGGTGCCCTTAAATAAAATAACGTTAATAACAATATAGGTCATAATTGTAATATTTCCAAATTATTAATAATTTCATAATCCTTACATGTATTCAATGGTACCACAGAATGTATGAGTTACAGCACCTTCTTGTATATGTTCTTTACACAATCCAAAATCAGTTAATTTAATATGACCTTCTGAATCCAATAAAACATTTTCCGGTTTTAAATCTCTAAAATTATTCATTACAAGAATTATTAATTCAATGCTATATACAAAAATAAAATCTTTAATATATTAATCATTCTGTCATTTGTATAGATTATATCTTGATAATTCTTGATATACATGCATAACATATGCACATGTAGAATTTATCAGAAAAAAGTATACAGTACCTGTATATGATTCCTTGTAAGTGGAGATGTTGCAAAGCCAATGTAATTTCACACAAATAAAAGCTGTAAAACAAATAAAAGATGATATTATATATATTTATAAAATTTTAAAATGCTTTATAATTCACTTACCGTGCAGCATCTTCCATAAAAACACCTTCATCATCTAATTGTCGAAATAATTCACCGCCACACATATATTCCAATATCAAATATAACTTGTCACCAGTTTGGAATGCGTATTTGAGATCTACGATAAAAGGATGCTGCCAAATGCAAGCATAAATTATATAAATTAATACTTTGCATAAAATATAATAAATATAGAAAAGAATAAATATAATAAATACAGAAAATATAGAAAATTAATTAGAGAATTAATTTCTTTCTAAATTTATCTAAAAAAATATTATTTTATAAATTACTAATAAATTACTAATTATAAAGATACCGTTCTTTCTATAATATTTGAAAGATTATACATGTGTATAAATTGTTTAGTCTGAATATTTTATAATTAAATTTTTTAGCAAAAATAAAATTAACTAACCTTTACAGACTCCAAAATATTTCTTTCAGTTTTAGTATGATCTGTATCTTTCTGATTTCTTATAATTGAGGCTTTGCGCAATACCTGTCAAAATGGTACACAAAAATAATTTAGATGAAGAATGAACTGAAGAAAGCACATAAGATAAGCACTATGTGTATGTGTGTGCATATTTATATATATATATATATATATATATATATATATATGTATGTGTATGTGCGTATATTTAGAAAATATATATTAGATATGATATATATGTATCTGTGTGTGTGTGTGTGTGTGTGTATATAAAGATTAATGCGCTATCATTCTAAAAATAAACCTACAAGAATTTTATATTTATCTTATAGTAATTGTAAAATTTTTTAAATTTATCTTATAGTAATTGTAAAATTTCTAATATGTTCAAATTATTAAAACACATACTATAAATGTCATATAAATATACATATATCCATAAAATGCTTATCTAATATTGAAAAAAATATGAAGCATTAAATTGCATAATTTTTGTACAATATTTTATAAGATCCATAAAATAATGATCTCTCTCTCTCTCACTCTCTTAAATTTTCAATGTTACTGCAATTCTTTATTCGAACAAACACATATTTTTCTCTCATGCTATTCACAAACATAATATTCTGGAGCAACAATGTATATAAACAGATTTTAATACCTTCATGGCAAAGATCGTGCCACTGTCATTTCCTGTTATTTTGCGTACTTGGAAAACCTTGCCGTAGCCGCCTTTCCCGATAACTTTGCACAACTCGAAATCTTGCGGCCCGACCTTCTCGCGTTCGCGGTTGACATTTTGCTCGCATATCGGCACCGCTTCTACGCTTCCCACTTCGGAATTGTCGGACGAACTGTGAAAAAGATAAAAAAATTCTCGTTAACAACAAAATATATTACGGAGCGAGAAGGCTCCGAAAGACGGACCGCGTGGTTTTGCGAGGCGCGAGACACACACGCGTGCACGCGCGCGCGCGCTCTCTTACTCACTTTGCAATCTCACACGGATCGGCATCGCCCTCCTCCTGCAAAAGGAAAACAGATGCGGCGTTAAAAGCGTTCACGTGCAATCGCCAGCGATATTGAAGCGGGGAGGGGGACAGTGGATCGGGATTTTCGACCGAGGAAATTCCAAGGGAACCGCGTGCCAAGGTATTACCGTGCCGAACTCGATGACATCGTCGTCCTCCGACTCGTCCCTGTGCAGCAATCCAGCATCTTGCAGCTCGAAGTCGAAGATCGCTGACATCGCTGATAGCGCGATTAACAGGCTGATGTAGCTGGCCGCGAGAAGTGTCGAGCGCGCTGGGTGATCTCGCGCGTCGAACGCGGATGGTCAATCAATTGACTAGCTTGCACAAGTAAGCGAAACTGTCCCTGACGCAAACGAGTATGTCGAACAGCCTCGTTCGCTCTCGTTCGCGGAATGCCGGAATTACCAGAAGTCTTGTCGCAGCCACGCCGACGGAATGGGGGAAGCGCGATTCACCAATCGCCTCGCGCCTCCCACGCCGTGATTCCACGCGGCAATTTTGAATCTGCGTCATATGTTGCTTGGAACAAAAGAATCTCTCGTTCGGAAAAGCAAAACATTTTCATTTTTATTCAACTAAAAAAAAATAATAAATGAAGATTTTAATATTTAATAATTTTTTTTGCACTTGTCTATAAAATATAATTTATATAATTTATTAAGTTCAGAAAGAATTAAATTTATCGCTTCGAATATTAAGTGCCTCGACTTCCGATATCTACTTTATTCTTCATGATCTTTTGTTTAGGTCAGCTTTGTGTTTCGCTCTCTCTTTGTCTCGGAGAAGATTATCCTTTATATGTCGAATTCCCGGAACGTAAATACGTCATGTGCTCGAATAAAGATCTTCATCGCGCGACATCACGCAAAGTACCTATATAGATATACGGATGTATTAACGGGGTTGTGTAATTTTGCGAAATCATGATCGGGATTAGATAGGTCAAATTTTATTCGAATTTTTTAAAAAACGATAAATCTGCTCGAATGACGAGGGAATTATTGAAGGTATAATTTATCGATATTATCAATACAATTCAAAAAATATTATCGGAGTATACGATACACAACGATAAACGTCGAGATAATAGGTAGAGATGCGTGAACATTGTGCTTGTATATGCATATCGTAGGTAAAAACGGAGATAAAGCGTAATCGGGCATCTCCTACGAGTGACACAGAATTTCACGCACTTTGCCGTCCATTTCTGGTGTGCCCGATCAGTGAGCGCAACTTGTCAAAGATGGTTCGGTGTCTTCGCCTGCAGGGATACGAAAATTTTCTCAAGTATGTAGACGATTTGGAAACTGCGGAATCGGTGTACATCCTTTACACCGGCACGAAGCTTCCCGACACCGGCAAGAGCTGGTGCCCGGATTGCGTGGAAGGTGAATGAATCTCACACGAGGACGCCTACATAACCTACATTTGTTGTGTTTTGCGTAAATATTTTGATTACTGAACTAAGATTAAACGTCAAAAGCGAGAATATCAGCGAAATTTAAATCTTGGCAAATGGAGAATGACTGGAACAAGGGTAACAAAAGTGTCACTTAGTGCCAAGGTCCATTTTTTGAAAATAAACTCGTCAATATCATCGGTTTTAGAATACATTTTTTTGTTTGTACCGTTCATAAATTTCACACTGAAGTAAATAAAGTTGTAATTATTGAAGAATTAGAACAAATGCAATAAAAACCCTGTTATTTGATTAAATCTGAATCAGCAAGTTATCTATTCTTATCTAATCTTAATTAGTATATATATCATTATTGTTATCATTAAAAAAAAGTATCAGATTTTAAATATTTATTTTATTTCATTTCAGCTGATCCATTTATTGAACAAGGTTTTGAAGCAGCACCTGAAGAAACACAGTTGATAATAGTGGAAGTTGGAGACAGATCGTTGTAAGTAAATAGGATATCTACTTTTATACTTTTGCAACTAGTATTAAAACTAAATTACTATATATATTTTTATATCGTAACTGCATTAAAATTATATAATAAAAACTAAAATAAAAAAAAAATGTTAAAAAAACTCTAGAATATTTTTTTTTTTATCTTAGTTGGAAGGATCGTAATTGTCCGTTCAGGACAAATCCTATTACCAGATTGAAAGTCTTGCCCACTCTAATTAAGTGGAATACTGAAAAACGTTTAGAAGGTGACCAATTGTTAAAACCTGAACTTATCGATATGTTAATCACAGAAGACGATTAAGTATTTGTATAATACATTTTTTATATTTTATATAAAAGTATATTGTACATATTGCATGAATTCTAAATACTGTATGCAAACACTACACTCTTGTATCCCATATATATCTATCTATTTTTCATATATCTATCTATTTTTTTTATGATTACTATCCTTTCCATTATTCAGCTTTAAAGAAATGAATATTTTCATAATAGAATGTATATTCTTTATGTATATTCTTATGTATATTCTTATGTGTATTCTTTATGTGTGCATTTACATATTTCAGTTATTATTGCAATAAGGATCAATTTAATTTTTTAAATCACAATAAATTATGCGTTATGAATTAGATAACTGGTTTCAAATTGAAAAAGAATTTCATGCTTAGTTTTTTTTTTTGGATTTATCACGAAACCTATGATGTTAATATTCGTTCGTGAAATCTTATTTAGCCTAATCTATTACCATCTATCGTGAAATCTTATTTAGCCTAATCTATTACCATCTATCTACTCCATCCTATAAGACTATAACTATAATTATAAATTTCTTAATATAAGGTTTATTCGCAACTACGCAATCGATGCCATTTCCTGTAATTCTTTCGTCGGTGGTAATATACGCACAGAATAGTGAAGTTTTTTATTTCTTAACAAACTGTAAGTGTTATCGAAAACGATGGAATCTAAAACAAATAAATTTATATAGTTGACATCTTCATTGTTATTGTTATTCATTCTAGTACTTCAGCGATATGAGCTTACAGGTCGCCGGATCTTCACAAGTCAATACTCCGATTTCGTCCGATTGATGAGATGCGACCTTTCGAATAGGTATAACTTCTGTCTGCGTACCATTTGTTGTATCCTTCTTTAGAATCCCAAATTTAATATCATGACCTTCGCTTCGAAATTCCCAGCTGCGTGAGTCATAGTTGATTTTATTAGGAAACATTTGGAATATGGTCTCTTGTTGAATATAATCTCTTATTGAATGTACCTTAACATGGAGCCTTTTATAGGTGCAGAGATATCGAATTCTAGCTTTCCACCTTTTCGAACAACGACGCTGGTAAAATCATCGTTTAATTTATCTGTATTGTTGGTGTACATTTCTTTAGGTATCTTGCCGCCTTGACAAATCTGGCAACAATCTCAATTATCATTTTCTGAGATGAAATATGTGGTGAATTAATAATATTAGTACATTTTTTTAAAGGAGAAATATTTATTCTTACATTTTATATTAAAGAAGAAAAATTCATTCTTTTAAAGTAAATAATGTGTTTTATATGAAGCAGATGAAGAAATGTAAAAATTAATGGTAGGAAATTAAATTTTTTAATGATTTTCAAATTTGATTTTTTTCAATAAAAATTTAAATAAGATACTAAAATCTTAATGTATGTAAAATTCTTATGTATTGAATATGTTTTATAATATAGATTCTAATGTTTAATATATTATTTAATCACTTGAATATGTAATTACTAGTATAATTTACTTATCAATCTATACATGTTCTATACATGTATCTCTTACATGTTCTATCAAATATTCCATTTTGTCGAATAACATTCTCATGAATCATACATAAAATATCGCTAATCGTTACGTCATATAATTTCAAGAGAAAGTGGATCAATTAAAATACTACCTTCGAAGTTAATCTCGGATTGCCGTCTGGATCGCATAATGTTCCACCAAAATGAGCAGGTAACTGGTCCTTTGGTATGATCTTTAATATCGCCGCTTGCCATTTAGATGGATCAGCTTTATAAATTTGTATTTTTGACAGTGTATATTCATTCAAAAATTTCTTGGCAACGGAAAATGCAAAGGCGAAAACTCTTGGAGCTATAACAATAGTCTTAAATTCACTTTTTTTTTTTTTTACAAGATAAATTAATTCCAAAATCAAGAAAAATAAAAATATTTTATTAAAATTATAATATTATTTTTGGAATTATCGCTAATCGTTATGTCATATAAGGTCAATTTTCTTATTCTTATCATGTACTCAAACAGTGTAAAATTCAAAAAGAAAATATTAAATTATTTCTTTAGATATTTGTTACACGATTTTGTTTTTTTCTGTTAGTTGACAATATAAAGTGAAAGTCTAGTCACACAGGGTGTCTACTCTCTTTTTCTTGGAAAAACATTAGAAAACCATTAGAAAATGCATGCCATGAAAATTTATTTTAGAAAACTACATCAAAAAATTGTTAGAATATCCTTTTACCTAGAATTTTGAACAAACATACCTGAAAGATTAGAATTTTTTAACAAGATTTGAGTGTAGACATTTTCTGTTACGTTTATTTCATTACAAACTGCATAAACAACTGAATAATATATTAATTGTCTATATTCTATTGAACCTTACCATTGATGATAAAGCATGTTTTTAGAATTTCGGGATAATTTGCTTCGTACATTTGGATGAGTAATAGAACCAATTCACCAGCTATAACGTTGAGAATGATAAGACCAATAGAAGAGAAATTTTTTATATATAATAAAAAATAACAAAAAATTTTGCATCGAAAAATTTTCGAAGCATCATTTCAGGTTTTACCTGAAATATTTTACCTGGTCTCCATATATATTGTTTAAGATTAAATCCTTCCATATCGAAAATGACAGTTAATTGATTTGCAATTTGTCCGTGCTTCTTGGATTGTTCTCTAGCTAGTTTCAAGTAATGATCCAAGATTTTTACCGTAACTTTGACAATGTCTCTTTGGGTTACAACGTGTAACATTCCGTACATGTCCATACCAGCGAACGGTATGACAATGACTGCAACAATTGTTTACATGTTCTTTTTTTCGATTCATACATGAAAAAAACGATATATCTTTAAATTCGTGAGCAAAAATGCTTTTCTTTTTTCATTATGTTAAGTTTGTATAATTGATTTGTCTGTATTAAAAGTTTTTAACAGTAAAAATACATTTCTACATTTATTAAGAATAAACATTAGTCTTATAAAATACATAAAGTTTATATGTATTTATGAAATTTTTTGCTTTAAATTCTTAAAGAATAATTCTCATAATAATGTTTTCCCATCAATCACCTGAAGCTACTTTTTATAATGCAATTATTTTCATATATTTGAGTTTTTCCTTTTATTATCATATATTTCTTTAAATTTAATTTAATTAAATTTAAACACATGAAAATGTAAATATTTATAATTAATAAAAAATAATATTCAAAGCAATAAAAAAATTTTGATAGAACAATTATAACAGTAATCTTGTCACTTTTACAAGAATTCTTGTAGAATTATTAGATTTAAAAATTATTATCCTCGAATAATCTCCATGATAGAGACTTGTTTGTGATAGAGATCTCAAATAGAGACTTGTTTAATTTGCAATTAAATAGAAACTTGTTTAATATAATTTTTATTCTCTATTTTTAAATAAAAACAATTATTATAATATTTTTAGAAATTTTTATTCGAAAATTACAAGTGTCTAAATGTTTAAATATTTCACTATATATATATATATATATATATATATATATATATTTCTTATAAAGAAAGTATATTGGTTGGAAAATAAGACACACGGAGACCTTGACCGAGTTCTTTACCAAAATATTGAAACCTGTTATGTTTCATGCTCTCAAATATGTTGATCGTTATGTTACCTACCAAGTCCTACTGTAAACGACCAGAAGCAGACATTTATTTTACTGTTGTCATTTCTATATGTTTATAAATATTATATTTGATGAATATTTATTTATAACTATAATACTATATATCGATGGCGTCAAAGTAAATTTATTAGTAAATTTTTTGCACATTTAATATATCTTTCAATTATTTATGAATTTTTCTTATAACAAAATCTTTTAAAAAACAAAATATTTTAAATTATATTGATTTGCTCAGACAAAATCTCAACAAAATCTTTTAATATATTTTAAATTTTGATTTGCTAGTTAATATACTTGTTTTAGAGTCAAATACTGTGATTTAAAAGTAAATATACTGTTACACACAAAAATGGCATAAATTGTGACAATATAATCTAAAGCAGAGATTTGTGACAATATAATCTAATGCAAGATTTGTGACAATATAATCTAATGCATAGATTTGTGATATTGTGATGTTATATTTGTGAAGATTAATGTGATCTTGATTTTAATAATTAAAAAGATCTTACCAGGTGCACCATCTTTATCGAATCCACATAATCCGTAAGGCAAATAATTTTTTACACTTTGTGGAAGATCCCAGTCAGATAAATGATCAACATCCCAATGTTTCCGCCAATTCAAAGACTATGAATAAATATTATTCATATAACATGTTTATCATTATTTAATTATCATAAATGTACATGAAACATACATCATTAAACGATATATCATAATCAAAATTATCAATGAAAGAATTGAAAGTTTCTAAAAAAAATTAATATATTGCATTAATAAAAAGCACAATTTTATCCTATACACATATTTTTAATATATATTAACATAACATATATTTTAAGAAGATTTTTAAGATGTAAATTTGTTTTTCTCCAACATATATATTTTTAGATAAAATAAATTAAAAAATGTAATAACTTGAAATTTCTCTCTCTCTATTTATTTATCTATCTATTTATCTGTCTGCCTATCTATCTATCTATTTATATTCTATCTATAATAATATTTTTTGTGTAGTAATTTAAAAAATTTTTTAAAATATAACACAGTGCATATAATGAAATTTTTTATAAAAAATACTTATTTCTTTAGCATGATGTGTTTTCATGGAAGTTAAATTTTTCTTATGATAAAAGATATATTTAAGATTCAATATACCAGCTGATTACTGCTGCTAATATATTCCTTAGACGACAGAAAACATGTGTATTGGCAATATTTTTTAATAAAAAAATATAATTTTACATAAAATTATGTTATAATTACATTGCTATAATGATATTCTTATATATATTGAATTTTGTACTATAATATAAAATTGCACATTATAAGTTTTTCTAAATATTCCTTGCAATTTATACTTAATGATTTTATAATGACAGGGTTTCACGTGGGATAGAAAGTGAAAAAGTATAATTTATTGTACGAAGAGATTACTTTAGATGATACTAGGCACTTTGTATTATGTACCGTCGGTTTTCAATCATCGTGAAACTTCTCTAAACGAAATAGTGACTTTGAACGTGCTTCGAAGAATCGCCTCGTTACTTTTGACTTACAAAATAGCACGTACAGACGACTTTCTATTTCGCATAAAACATCTTTCAGGACAAAAAAGCGAAACCATCGACAGCAATTTATAATCTTCAACATATAACATCTGACTGTCCGGAAGAGAGTTCTTTCATTTAAGGAAATTAGCTATAATTATTTTGCAAGCTGATTTGATCAATATTTAAAAAGACTATTATTATTATATCTTACATTATCAAATATTATTTTATGAAAAATACAGTTTATTACATTATATATTACATTACTAAAACATGTTTATTGTAATGTTTATTAAATTAAAGAATTTTTTATAAAAGAAAACTTTTTTAACTTGTAATTTGTTATCATTCAATTTACTTTTAGGATTATTTAATAGGGTTTATTAATTCATTAATAAGAGTTAAATTTTAAAATAATATTAATGTTATTAAAATAATATTTAATTTAAGGATGATGGTTACTCATCAAAATGCAACAGAAGGAATCTTCAAGGAGCAACGAGTTGTAACGTGGCTCACGCTATGTTTATGCCCGCAGCGTTAATATTTAATGATTTGCGAATAATACGCGTGGTAGAGAAATTTAAAAGGCTCGAGAACCGGAACGTGTTTCACCAGACTTTCTCAATTGGATTCACTTGTATTTTGTACAACGCGAATATTAAGTCCAATCTACGAAGGTGATTCAAATATGTAATCGACGCCTAGTGAGCGTGTAAAATACACGTGCGTTTTATTTACTATGTTATATATGTATAGGATAGGATGATATATAGGATACCTATAAATCCCTATAAATTAGATATGTTTTATACATAGTTACTTACATCTCTCAACATCTTTTCCGCCGCGGTAGGATCCCATTTCCTTGCTGAAAAAAGATATATAAATTTGAGAAACCATGCCAGATTATGCGTGACAAAATATTTTTATAATTTTATAATATAATATTCTAATGAAGTTGGATATTATCCGTGCATATTAAAATTAACAAGAAAAATTTTCTTTTTACATATAGAATCACTACATTTTAAATGATGTCTAAATCTCAGTTAAATATGCAATTGTTACTGCTTAAACTTATATGAAGAGTTTCTTCATCGTTCAATAATTAAATCATACGTTATGTGATTTGAGTAAATCACACAGTTCACTGTGTTAATAACCGATAATCCTAAGCTTCCGCAAAATTTCATAATTTTTGTTTCAAAACAATTTAATTACTTCACAAACATTACTTCGACACACAGCGAAAGCTGATAAATGTAACGTCAATTAATAGCAATACGAATGTTGCACATGATGCGCTAGGTTGCGTATTGTATACATAATAAGAGATAATACTTATCGAAATTACAAAGTGTGTTTCCTTTGTTAGTACTAATACGTTATCAGAGTCGTACCTCTCAACCAACGAAGCAGAAAGTGATCATCGTGATGTGGTTGCAAGACGTCTTGCACGGATCGCCTGAACTGTAAAAGAAAAACATACATATTTATATGTGTTCTTTTCACGCATATTATCGAATAGAAATATCGATATTTCGGTCATCGATTACATAGTTTAACATAATATTAATTATCATATCGTGACTTATCTATGATGTTGATGTACAGTTATTAACTGCAACAAAAGAAATTATTTATTTATAAATATATATTTTCATACGTATAATTATGCGCGTATAAAATGTGGCTAATTTTTATCTACATCGTATATACAGCAAGTGTTTCATTTACACGTTTCTCCGGGAAGTAACAGCGATTTTATTTATTTTGTCAACGGTAAAGTTTTTATGCACAATTATAATATACAGGAAGCACAATCGTCTCGCGTTAAACGCAAGGAAGTGAAATTTCCTTGTCGGCTCTCTAAATTATCGATGTTGTCTGCATACTAAGACACAATCTATATTGACTTGTTACAAACAAATCTTCATTAAAATGTCTATGTTTATTTTCACTGAAAACTTTAGGAAATCAAAGAGAATACAGAATTTTTAATACTAGGACGTTAGTATTTACTTCTTACGAATGTTTAGGTTTACTATTTATTTTAATAACTTGGCTCACATGTGTAAATAACTGTAAGAGATTTTTCGCAAGTAAAATCTTAGAAATTTAACTAGATAGAAACTAGAAAAACTACAAATTTTTTTATTATTAAAATTATTAAATTAGTAAAGAAAGAGTTTTAAAATTTAATGAAAGCTATAACACACACAGAATAAAGCTACAGCTCAAGTAAATACAGCTCAAATAAATTTTTAAATTTTGTACATTTTTTAAAATTCAAATATATATATGAATATGTGTATATGTATAAATTTAAAATTGCATTCGTACACAATAGTTTTGATATATCAATATTTGACAAGTACTGTTATTGTTGAATGATAAGTACATCAATCTCTTACTTTTAATCATAATGAGTGATGCATAATGAGTGATTTTAGCATGATGATTTGACGAAAATAAAATGTACGTACACACGTTATATTAATTGAATTAATACGAATTTTTAAAATTTTTCTTTTTTTTAAATAGCTGAAAAAGAAATCTTTCAAGTTATTTTGCAATATAAATCGCGATTATTCTATCGTATAATGAGATTTACATTATTGTATAAAATGATAATATGTAGAATATCAATCATTTCTTGCAATAAAATATAATAAAATAAAAATATAATATTGTCGTATAAATAGATAAAAATAGATAAAATATGCAGATATGAAAAGGCTCAGGATCCCCGTCCTTCTCTCTCTCTCTCTCTCTCTCTCTCTCTCTCTCTCTCTCTCTCTCTCTCTCTCTCTTACATATCACGAATAATTATTCGAATAAACCGGTTCTTCTCCGGTCAAAGAAACTTGAATTTGCCTTGACATATGCAATTTCAATAGATTCGCTTATTTAAACAACGTTATAAACAAAGTTTTTAAGTTATTAAATGTACTGTAGTAAGTGCTTAAAGATTGTAACAAATGAAAAATTCTTTTTTTTTCTTATTGTCTCGAGTGTAGTTCGCAAAATATGTTGTGTGTGTGTGTGTGTATAAATCCGGGTTCAGAAGTGACTTTTTAATGCAATTATCTTTCTTATTTTTTTGCTGTTTTCTCTGAAGCTCAAAGCAAAATTTATCCTTGTTGTTGATGACTCTTACATCAACTCTACTGACATTTATCCATTTCGATGGAAAACATATTTATGGATATTTATTGAATACCAAATAAAAGTTACATCTGTTTAACACATCATTTCGTTTACATCATTTCTTCAAAATGATTTTATAACTATTTATAATAATAAATCAATAATAAGTGCATAGAAAATAATATTTTCTTTCGACCAAATTTCCTTCGGTTTTTCAACAACAAGAAAAATTATTGAAAAATTATTAAAAAAAAGATAAAAATTATCGTAACGATACATTACAGTTAATTGTATATAACAGTTTCGTCATAAAATAATTAACTATCGAATTTGTTATAACAAATTATTAATTGTGCATGTAAATTGTGCGTAAAATGGAAAATATGATATATATGCACGATAATTATTTTGTAAAGTTGAGAGATAAATAATTAATATATGCATTCAATTATTTTATTCTATGAATTTATTTCATGACGCTAAGACGAAAAAAGTTTGTGATTTGATCATTAATAAAATTTTTTCGTCTCGATAATAAAAACTTACAAAATAAGAAAAAATTTATTTTATTAATATGTAAATGTTTTTGCTATATTTTTCCTTGAAACTTATCCTAAACTGATTGTGAGATGATAATTATAAGATATTATGAAAGACATAATGGACTTTAGAAATATTAAATTTTATTTGATTTCTTTAGTGAAAAACATGTTTTAAAAATAACAAAATTATTATTTTTAATCTTATTTAATTTTTACTAATTTCATTATTATTGATATTGTGAATTATTTCACCATGTTGTCAATTTGTATAAATCACCAAATTTTTACTTAAAGATGTTTAGGTAATTGTGAGAGATTAGGAATACAACTCTCAAAAATCTAGTAGACGTAATCTTTGTTTCTATTTTGTACATAGAGCTAATAACTTCTACCGCAAATTTCTACGTCTATTGAAATTTCTACCACATTATATACGATTGCTTCATCCAACCGGGGTGAGTTGAAGAAAAGCCATTTTATGCGAATGTATGTTAGCAAGCTATTTCGCCTATCGGATTTTTGTACATATCCGATGTTGTAATTCAAGAGACGGAGAATTTATGTATGTATTGAGAATCGTTTAAAGTATGTCGCGCGAGATCATCATGTGCCCGATTATCCTCGCAGTTGCATGCCACGACTGTCAAAGTAGACTCATGAAAGTATCGTCGCACTGTTACTGTCGATAACGTTCCTTTTCGTTCGGTGAAAAGAGGCGATTGATTCGATCAATTTAAACTGATTAAAATATGCTAAATTTTGTTTTACTGCATACATTTATACAACATTCTTTTTAAGATTTCGTGATTAAAAGATAAATATATTACAACGCCAAGGTAACATGCATTTAATAGAAGATAGTCAAAAGGTGGTTAATCAAGTTTTTTAAGCATTTCCGATTGACGAAAGATCAGTTTCAAGGAAAATTGATTCAATATTGAAATAAAATATCAAATAATTCTTTTTCACGATTGACGCAAAAAGCACAATCGTCAATTTCTTCTTCGCGTTCCGGTGTATCTTGCTTCTTGAAATAAATATCTGGATACTTGCTACTCGTTTTAGATACCAAAGATGAATGATCACCAGATTGTAAGGAGTAAAAGTAATCTACGTACAGTGAAATCTTTTCACCGTATCGCAAATAACGAAATTTTTAATCTTATTGAGAAATTATGTCGATAAATCTGGATAAACCTGATTTGTGCAGGAATTTTTTCAAAACTATTGTATGCGTGTGTGTATGTTGTATCTGTTTGATTTTTTCTAAATATAATAGGCAAAATATTCTTTTTTAACAATTTACTAAAATCTGAAAGTTTTTCCACAGTAAATATATTATTTTCAAATGGTGTAAAATTACCGCACTATGTTTATTTCCATGGTGTTTTAAATAGTGAAACATTTTCATATAGCACATCATTTAATTAAACTATTTTTTCTCTCTTTTGAAAAGTAATAATGTCTAATAAAACAGTTGAATATTCCTTAATTTTCATTAAAAATAACTATTTGCTTCATCTCATTCTCCTATTTTATTTTTGACTTTTAATATGCACGAAATGTCTCAATTTACATAAAAAATTTTATAAGTAATAAAATTTTATTTTAGTGACTTTTTATTTTTATTAAAAAATAAAAAAGAATAAGTTGTTCATCATAAAGTTGATAGAAGGTCATTTGAAGCGATTACTGGTATGCGCCGATTCTTACTATAACAGATGTGATCGTGAATAAATAACTTTATACTTATGCGCATGCTGCACGCTGAGATAATAAAACATATCACTTGTCGAATACTCGATAAATTTCTATCTTTCACATTTTTATGTCATGTCTAGTAGTACTTGTAACATTCTATTATGTCGACATGTATTATATATCATTTATATGATACTGAATGACTTTATATCGACTTTATATGACAGATATATCAAATCATGCATTGTTCTCTCTTTGAGCCGGCTTAAAGATATTATATATATTACATACATTTGTTATTACATACATTACACATATTTGTTTGAAATTTTTTTAAAAAGGTATTATTCTTTTTATGTAATTTGGGACATTCTTCTTGTCCATGTTGATATAAAATAACATAAAATTCGAAAACTTGGAATAAATAGTGTTACAGTAAGAGTAATAAATAATGTAACATAAAAAAATATTTTTAAATATTCTTTTAATAATCATGGTATTAATATATTTCTTTCATTATTTCAAAATAATGCTTAATTTCGTGCTTAAAATGAATTTTTAATCATTACTTTAACACTTACTTTTCATTAGAAAATTTAATAAAAAGAAGATTCTTTCGAAACGAATATTATTCATCTGCATATAAATATTCACATTATTTATTTTAATATCTCTAAAAGATGTCATCTCTATACAACTTACTTTCATTAACGCAAATCGCTGATCATCCGCCAATTTTAATGACGTTGACATTCTTGCTGCTTGCAGTTCGACAATCAATTTCTTCGGCTTTAAAATTTTCGGAATTGACGTCTTTTGTGTTGATAACTATAATATTAAAAAACAGATGTATGCATTAATAAATGGAGCAGAATCAAAATATTTTTATCGCAAAGAACTATTACCGTTTGAACTATTTCTCTTCATATACATAATGGTATTCTAAGAAAAGGATGCAAAAGAAATTTGCATTGAAAAGGTTTCTCTTTTTTTTCACATTATTTGAAGATATACAAAGCTGAATATGTGTACATATACACATTGATATTTCGATAAAATTGATATCAGATTGCATAGCGATAGATTATTTATATTTATAAATATTTGTATATATAATAATACTAATACAATATAAAATAAAATATATTACCGAATCAAAATTTAAGGAGGAAATTATTTCTTGTTGACTTATCTGTCAATATAATATCATTTGTAAAAATTAAAAAGAAAAATCTCTAAAAAGCACTTATGATAAACTTTGCATACATTATGATTTTTCACACCGCTAAAATATGCAAATTATATGACTATAAAATGTGCAAATTATGATGACTTCTTAGAATGCCATTATAATGTGCATTTTATTCATATATATCAAAAGAAATAGTTCAAACGATAATATTCTTGCGATGAAGTATGCAACAAACATTAATATTCCAGTGCACATAAGTCAATTGTCTGTTTTCAAACTGATACAATTACTATCGCATTAATTTTCACTGATCTCTATTTTTCTAAATAATAACACAATATCTTCAACACCTTCTAAGTATTCAAATATCTTTTGAACTGAACTTTTGTTATCTCAATTATCACCTGCGCGTCGAATATTAATCGCGATTAGCGTATATACATAAAATAGAGAATATACTACACACTTTTCTGTTTTAATAAAAAATATCCGCAAACGTCTTTCATATATTTTTTTAAATACATATTTACTAGACTGTTGCATTATCAAGTTACTATTGTAATTGTTGTATATCAAGCAATTATCAAGTGTATTTTTTTCAAATATATATTTCCTAGACTATTGTATTCAAGTTACTATTCACAAGTACATATGCGTGTCTGACGCTTACCGTATCCGAAATATGGTAGCAAGAAGATTCTTCGATATGAAGATTCTTAAAAACGGCGAACGCGCTCTTAATCCAAAGCCGCTGTCAAAACCGATTTTATTCACTTGGCGAAGTTTCGGCGACTCTCTCGGATCCGCGATCGCGAACTGCTCGGCGTCGACTACATTCACTGATCGATGCAACAGGTCCATCACACGACAACCGCAATTGTGTGTATGCGTGCAAAGCGCGAGCGCGCTCGAATCCATCCACTCACTCGACACACGATTTCGCTCGCTATGAAGGATAGACGTATCGTCGCTGAGCGAGCGGTACCAGGGAATGATACCAGCTACCATTCCCCGGCGATGATGGCGAGTTTCCAAGCGCGACGCCCCACCACATCACCACGATTACCTGACCTGACATGACCTGCCTTGAACGTCTGATTCCACGCGATCCGTTCGAGCTAGTTTCTGCGAGAGTCACGGTTTTTGGACGGATTACAAAGTCGATTGGCCAGGCTGGCGATTCTCAGTTTGCGTTTCGACATTATGCTCATTGGACAGACACGTTTCCGATATTACGTATCCGTTAAAGGAATGAGGTTTACCTCGCTACACGAGTACGTCGTGCTTTGGCGACGATGTAGCATCGAGTCTGAGCTGGATACGTGTGCGATCTTACGTAAGTAGTCGCTATATCCTGGAAATGGTTCGCGATGGTTGTTAATCCAAACATTGTTTGTCTCGTCTCATCATGATTTCAGCACTTTTGCAGCCCGAAGGATAGATGACGTTAATGTTTTACCCCTGATTTGTCGGTGAATGTATCTCACTCTTGTGTGTTTCTCTTCTTTCTACTGATTGGCTGCTGTTGTGTGCTAAGCAATGAATCTTCGATATTATTCAGCTTGGTAATTTAGACATTATGAGCAATTCTGTGTAGAAATATATGTCCACAGAATCGTCGTAGATCATTACATACACACATGTATCGTATCTGCTTCGAGAAATAGTATTTATCATTCAAAAAAATGTTTTGCTGACACAAATAGATTTTTGGAGATTTCTGACACATTTATTTTTTTGTATCTGTTGTAATCTTGTTTGTAACATGTAGAACAGATACTATGCCAAATATTAATTATTATCTTGGATAAATATAAACTTCAATAGTTCAGCTAAAATAATTTTTGTGCAGAAATAATTTTTCTATGTAGCACAATCAAATTTTGTAACAAATATGATTAACCTTAACATGGATAGACGTCATAAGAAGACTTTCTTTTAAATTTCACTAACGGTTCACATAGAAATTTTCTGTCATTTAGATCAAAAACATGCGATATTATAGTGTTTAATCATTTTTTATTTCAATTAATTTTTTGTACTTAAAGAGTTATTGTAATAATTGCAAGATCATTGTTTGTGAAATGGTATCATATTTTATATTTAATGCTGAATAATAATATAGAATAATATTATAGAACATGCATTTCAAAGAATGACTTGCAATTATTATAAAAATTATTTTCTAAGTATCAAAAATTAATTGAGATAAAAATGATTAATTCATCTAATCGTTCATTTTACATTATATCTATCTAATAAAAAAATTATATTCACCTTTAACTCACGAAAGAACAAGAAAAAAATTTATGAGTTTTGCATATTTAGTGTCAAATCTATTGAACAAAGAAAAACTCACCTTGGAGTTGTAAAACATTATCCTCATTGTTTGCTATAAAATTATATCGTGCTTTCTGATAGCTAAGTTCTTTGTAAGCCGTATCCGACATAAAGTGGTCGTAGTATACTTGGCTTCAAGGTCGACCACGGACACATCGAGTGCGTCAATCATCCCTGGTACTATTGTAATCATACAAGCGCATGCGATAATAAATGTAAAAATTGAATGGAAATTTTATAATTAATGAACATCACAATCAATAATTCAAATTGATTATGCTTTCGTTACAGTGCGAAACAAAAATACGTTTCAACAATAAGCATATTTGCACATTTAAATTGCAATGGCAAACAAAAAGTTAAGTTACGATCAATAATGTTATCATTAATTTTTTTTTTTTATTCTAATCATTTGATTGTTTCGTCATTTCATATTAAAGCATTGCAAGTTTCAACCAAGATGTACATGTACAAAAAGGATAAATGATTTTATTATTAGGTAGAAATAAAACTATATATTTTAAACTAGATATTTTAACTATATATTTGAAAAACTATATAATTAAAATGTTTGAGTTGAAATTATTAAAATGGCTATCAAAATCCCGCTATACTTATTAATAATCGTACCAATGTTTAACAGTAATACTTATGTCGCTTATATAAATGTCTTTCTTAAATTTTATCGAAATTAATTATTTATCCTTATATATATATATGCTATCACATTTATTTACATCAGTCATATGCAATATTGAAAGTACTTTATCTTAAACAGAAAAGAAAGATTAAAAATAAACAATCTCTGTTTAATTCACCTCGTTAATTCGTTTGTCATCATTTTCTTTGTGCTACTTCCGCTAAAACTAACCGCATAATCCGTTATTCTCCGCAATATAAACTCGTATTATACATTCCAGCGAAATTTGCTTTTACTAGTAGCGTTATCTATCGACAAACGCGGTCACTCGTCTCGCACTTTGAGCGTCGAAATCAGTCGATCGTATCACGCTTAACTTCATCCCACTGCATATCTTTCATCAAAATCGGAATCCTCGACAATGTATCGAGTGCCAATATTAAAAAGCAACAGGTTTGAAAAATAATGCGGCAAGCAAATGGCGCGAAATTTCCGGTCGCTTTTAAAAGTACGAAATAGAATACCTGATTCTACTTTGAAAATGGAAAGCTGGAAGGTTTTTGATTATTCTATAGATACGACTCATTTGAATTTCTTATATTGTATGTTTGCTAAATATGATAATTTATTTCGCATACGTGATGCACATGTACTGATATGCGACTCGGGTATGTGCATGTCAGTTCGGCTATAGTGGCGCCATTTGACAGATCATACAGCGTGGTACGGTACTACTACAAGTGCGGCTGAGAGGTCGTTTCCGTAACGTATAAACCCACATATAATATACATATATATATATATATGCATAAACATATATGTACATCGCGTGGGAGTTCGGGGTGCGTCGAGGGATGCGACGAGGAAGGACGCGACGCGTCGATCAGCAGGCTTCGATTCGACGAGGCCTCGCGAAATCGTAGTTATTTTTCGCGAGTTTAGTCACTTTTGGTCGTCCTCGCGAGGCGGATCGAAATCGCTCGGTCTGCAACCACTGGCGACCACGTAGTCAAGCATGCGAATTGGTCGATCGTCTTCGACTGGCATCAAACGTGAACGTGTACTTCGCGGACGAGCGAGCGGCGTTGACATTTTAAGGACGCGCACGCAGAATCAGCCAGCAGTTTCCTCGTAAGTTTTTCAACTTTTATCTGAAGTATAATGTGCACGCGAATTTTATTCGCAGCAGACACGTGTATATTCGTGAGAGTGCGAGATTTCATTTAGCAAGGTTTATGAAACAGAGTTTCATAGAGTTTAGATATCGGTTGTATCTCTATATAGGTTATGTCTTCCCGGTAATTGAGGATACTAGATTAAATATTTTATGAGGATTCGCACATGTGTGTATTTTTTTGAAAGAAAGAATTGTCAATTTTTTACAAGTTGTCTGAGAGTTAACATGATGACTCATTAATTATGTTTTGCAAATCATTTGTGGATATTTAATATATTTTATAAGTGTGTATGTGTATACGTAAATGTGTGTATATAATTTTCTCTTAAAGAAAATTAATTACATTAAATTCGCTGTACATACATTGACATCAGATGTCAATGGTCACATATATAAATATAAAAAATTTGAGCATCACATTGTAGTAATAAATATGTAGTCTATGCGACTTTATTAGCGTAAATGATAAATCATGATGATTCATTATGTCAATCAATCATTCATTATCTTTATAGTTTAAATAGAATATGCTGAATTTATATTACGTTTTAATATATTTTTATGAATTTGAAATAAAAGTTGCTATTTAGCGAAAATTTCATAGAGAAAATTTATTTAAGGAATTTATCAATTTTATAAAATTTAAAAGCTATTGGTGCAAGAATTTTGAAATTGCATTACTATATAATTTTTTATCAACGTAATATATATATATTATTTAGAAATTTTAAAAATACTTATTTTATTATTTTTAAATGGGTGACCAACATTCTTCGATTCGTTCTCATTAGATTAAAATGTAATCTTATGCAAAATATATAAATTCGACGATGACAGAATTAGAGACTCTTTTCTTTTATATTTTATTTGTATATTTGTTCATTTAATTTATAATATTTAATTTTATAATATTTAACATTTTAACATTTAATTTATAATATTTAATTTTGCGAATCAAACAGTCTCGAGCATATGTGACCGATCACATATATTTCTATTTTTATCGTATCGCGACATAAATTTTCATAAATTATCGCAAAAATTTAAATACGACGTCAAGACCAAAGAGAATTTTATGTACAATGTCGGAAGCCAATATAAATAATCATCAAATGACACACTTATGCCTCGGGATATTGCGTCTAATGTCCACTGTTAATCATCTCGACAATAAAACAGCAATAAGTAGCGCTATTTCGAAAAAAAACTACTTTACAACGATGCTCTATTATCGTGTTTTTCATTTTTTTTCTTTTTTCTGATTTAAAATGAAGACTTTTGAAATCTACGTCAGAATTCGATGAATTAAAGCGAATAGCAAAAAACCTTTAATAATAACTTTTTCATCCTATTTTGATATATTATTTCATATATTATATTTCACAATTTATGAGATTAAATTACAAGGCGCGAGAGAAATTTATTACATAAATCTTTTGAATAAGATGACTTACAGAAGCATTGAGGCAGTTAATTGCGATTACTTTCGGTAGGAATGTGTTGTTAATGGTACATTAACTCAACTCACAAGCCAACCGGATGAAATGAGAGGAGAGGTGTCACAAAGAGAGCAGCAAAAAGAGGTCAGATTAGATACGCTAAAAACTTGGCTAACGTAACTAAAACTGAGATTGATCGATTGCAATGTTGATGCATTTTCGTCCGCGTGTTCAAACAGTTGGCAACACACGTGATAGATTGAAACTGATATAATTTTAATCGAATGCATGAAAATAGATCTTCAAGTACAAATATGTTAGTAGATTCTAATTTATCCATACGATTAAAAATAATTAGAAGTGATTCAATTTCGATTTAGAGATTTCGTTTTTAAATTTTAATAGATTTAAACAGACAGGTGAAAAATAAGTTTTTTTTATTTAGACGTAATAATAAAAAAACGCAGTAATTCGTTTGGCAATGCCCTTTACGCTATAATATAGATTTTTCATATTTATATCATCATTATCAATCAGAAAATACGATTTTAATGTCAGATTTGACATGATAATTTTTATTATGTATAATTATCGTACATTATGTATTTATATGTGTGTATATATGTGTATCTTGAAAGGAATATTTCGTCCTGATGAACTAATAATTTCTCTTTCAAGACAAACGATCATTTTTTTCTATATAATTACCACAACGTCATGACGTAAAGATTGAACTTTGATATTTAAACGGCAGATACGGTTGCATGCTTAGAAGTAACAATATGGTTTATTTTAATTTGAGATATTGAGGTATATTTTAGCGCGACTGTAATATTTTTTATCGAACTTCATTAATTATAAACAATACTTAATGAGATCATTAGTAAAAAAGGAAAAATTTTAAAAATAATGATTCTTTTCTCAGCAGTTTAACTTAATATTTTTAAATTTCTACGCAAGATTTATTCAAAAATATATGTAACAAACATTTCTTCTCTCTCTTTCTCTCTCTCTCTTTATATCTTAAACATTACATTTTAATCTCTCATTTTATCGTAACAGTCGAAGTAACAAAAATACACGAAACCTAGCTTTAAATTTGAAACATTTTCATAATTTATTATATTATATTATAGATAAATTATTATATTATATTATATTATTTATTATTTTCATAATATATAATATAATCGTATATCTAATAAAAAAAAATCTAAAAATTATTTATCGTATATATTAATTAATAAAAAGATTCTAAAAATTATTTATCGTATATATTAATAAAAAAATTTCTAAAATTTATTTATAATTAATTTCGCATCGTTCATACATGTGACACACTGTCCATACATGTTATACCTGACAGGATCAATCACGACGTAACTTGTAAAAATGCGGTAAAATGATTAAGTAGCCGTTATCGCAGCGTTATCGTGACAGTAATCACCGTGACAATGATCCGTTGTCACATGCGTGACACACGATCAGAGAGAGAGCACGCGAGATTTCAGCGCACGGTATTTTCCCTGCGCTTTTGAGAGTGACAAGCCAGTCGACGCTTGCGAGCGTAACGCATGTATCGTCGCGAAGCGTGTCGCGTTCTCTTTTCCGCTCGAACGCGGTTCTCTAGCGGTTCTCTTCCTCTTGCGAGTGCTCTAACGGGAGTGCCTCGTTAGGACGTCGTCAACGCTAATCGTGAGCGTCTCAGCAGTACGCGTTTCAGTAGAATTCATGCCTTTTATCCGAGTACTCCATGTTTACTCGCAAGGATAGAGACCCGACGAGTGTAATAAAAGATATTTTCGTATCAAGATTCATCGAAATTGATTGTAAATTCCATCATTATAGATTTTATTTCCGAATTTATTGGCATAGAGAGAGAACTGATGTTTGTAAAGATTGTTTTGTAGCTTGCTTACCTCATTATTAGTGTCACCTTCTCATTGGCTGCTTATGAACATGGAAACTCGTCGCCGTATTGACGGTTCTTGTAAGTTTCTTAAAAATTCATTTTAAAATACAATCGATCAGTTGATACTATTCTACAGAGCATGCAGGAGAAAGAGAGAGAGAGAGAAAGATACAACAAAAAATATAAAATTAACTATATATAAAATTCTTTATTTATTTATTTATTTCCCTTAATCGTGGTTTCATTTGCGTTGTAGCTTTATTTACTCACTATTTTGTTAAGTTCATTAATTATTAATAAATTCAATTTTTTTCTTATGATTATTTTTATGTGATGTGTGCAGAACATTTCAAATATGTGCGTCAAGAGATTATTTTGGGGTTAAATCAAAAAGTAGAGTTAGATAAATGTTATTATCTTATCATTATCTTTTGAGTTTAGCTTTCTTTCATTGTTTCCCCGCACAAAATAAACTATACATGTATGTTCAAGTATCGGACACCACATGTGATCTGTTTAAGATACCGATGCAGTAATAATAACGTTCACAGATAAATTTATCATAATAATAACATTATTTCTCAAAAATCTTTGTGAGTCAAAATTGTTATTTGTTTTCCTCCGTGTTGGAATTTATGTTAAGGAAATTTTCGCCAAATGTTTTCGGTGCGATATCGAGTGCGAAAAAAAATTAAAACAGACCGGTTTGATTCACAGAAGTGCATGAAAGATAGATTTAACGATCTCAAAACAGCTTGTAATTTCTCATAAGTCTGTGCAATAACAGGATATCGCGAATAATAGGTTGCCAACATAACAATATGCTATTCCAGCCGCGTGATGACGTAACTGATAAGATAAGTTTCCGAAAAATCCCAATATTCTCGAGATCTTTCTCCCCTGTTGAATAAATTACGCGCATGTAAAGGAAGACATAGATCTGATGGCTTTAATTAGGGCCTGGTTTTATATTTATTATGATCTAGTGACATCTTTATGCAGTCTCTGATCTTATTATTTATTTCTCCGGTTTCAAGATACTATATATTTCCGTTATATTCCTGTACGAGATTATCTCGCAAGCATGATGAGCTATGAATGTTCAGGTTAATTTAAAATGATATATATCATTCTCAAAAGAGAATGAAAAAATTGAACCAATATTGTAACGTATCAATACTGTAATGCAAATTAGGGAGATATATATCAGAGTTTTTTTATAGAGGCAAATTATATGGTATAATTTAAAAATAATTTGCAGATATCGAAAGAGACGCAGATTCTGGGAAGAAACGTAGCCCGCGAACATTTTTTTAGCATTTGACCATAATACTTCACACATCGTCACTATTCCACTAAAATAAACTGTCTCGGAAACTATTATTTTGTGGCATATGAATCATTCGCAATCAATACGATTAAATAGCTTTTTCACTGAAAATGCAATCATCTTGAAATAACTACGATTTATTGATTCGGTTTTTGACGAGTTTTCATAGCAAACATCAGTTGAGTGTTGATCTGCGAAATTTATTTATAATCGGTCGTAATCATAAATCATCCCGTGAAAATACAACGACAATCGAGATTATCTCATCTATAGTGAATTTTCAATTTTCAATAATGATGCTTTTACTATTATAGATATACAGTTAATTTAGTAAACATAACTTTTATTAAGGAAGATACAGCATATCACACACAAATAGTCCTTTTATTTTTTAAACTTTTTTTTTTAAAAGTAGACAATGATAAAATTCAAATTTAATAGTTTGATTGCATTTTTTGTAAACATAATAATAAAGAGAAGAGAAGAGACTATTTATTTTATTTTATTATGAGAAAGATTGTTGAATATATTTCTAAATATATACACACACACACACACACACAGGGTGTTCCCGGATTAAATGGCCAAACTTAAAATATAAATTTGGGACCTCAAAACAAGCAAAAATTTCCTCTGGAAGTTTGTTCGCAAACGCTTCGTTCAAGAGATATCGATTTGTTAAGTTACAGAACCATAGGAATGAATAATACTGAAATATTTTTGTTTTGTCTTTGTTTTAAAGATTAAAGGTCATTCATAGGCTTCGATTTCACGCAGTATACCAAATAATTGTTAGTTCATTGAATACTTTCGTGGAGTAAAGTGATACAATATGCCTCGTACATATTCTAATAGTGAATATGCTGATATGGTATATCTATCATTTTGAACAAAATATTTAATAATTATAAATTTTAGTTACTGTAAAAGCAATAAAAAAGCAATAAAAAAGATAAATCTACATTATTTCGATATTATTCATTCCTATGGTTCTGTATCTTAACAAGTCGATATCTCTTGAACGAAGCGTTTGCGAGCAAACTTCCAGAGGAAATATTTGCTTGTTTTGAGGTCCCAAATTTATATTTTAAGTTTGGCCATTTAACCCGGGAACACCTTGTATATATATGTATATATTAATTACTATAAATTATTCTTTTTAAAATTTACACAAAGGTTTGAAACAGAATTTATTTACGAATTATGTGGATTTTATTGATTCAAGATTTAAGATTTCATTTTTGTTATCCTTTAGAAGTCATCAATAATTCTTTTAGATGCAGTTTTAAAATTTGCAATTAATTTTTAAAATATTTTAAATTTTTTATTTAAAATATTTTTTATCCAGAAAACTAATATAAATATTTCAATAATAGATTTATGAATTAATAACGATGGGAACAATTAATAAATTTTTTTATTACATCTTAAGTGATACTAATGGATAATTATATCAGCTACGAAAAGACAAACAATAGTGTGATTAAAATTTCAAAATTATGAAAACAATTTAATAGTGATGGTAATATAGAATACAGTGAAGATTACACATTACTATTATGACATACTATGTCAATATCATCAATGTATCGATGCACCATTTCAGAAATAATCAATTAAGTTATCACGTGTTATTATTTTATAAAGTGTGTATCATAGCTAATAAGCTAATCGTGTATTATTCGATCAACTAATATAGATTGTGAACATATAATAGGCTTTCGTGAAGCAGGATAGCTTTTTCGTTAAATTGTGGAACGAATTAGACGGAGATTTTCAACGATTTATTATTAGAAGCAGAGAAATGTCATATCCAAATTTATAAGCGCAATTTTGAATAATGAAAGTTTGTATTTATATTGATATGAGTAATTGTTATGACTTTAGAGTTTTGATAACATCTATTTTTTATATAATTATTATATTATGATATTGTGCAAACTGAATTTCTCTTTCTTTTCTTTATTTTTTTCTTCATTCTAATTTTCTTTATCTTAATCTTTTTGTTATTTATTCAATTTTCCATTTTTCCAAACATTAATTAAACTTCATAAAAACGCAATAATTTATATTACAACAACAAATTAATATATACCGTTTTAATAAAAAAAATATTGTGCTCATAATAGATTTCACATAGTTTAAGCTATTAAATTCGAATCTTTTTCTTGTTTAAAAGAAAGTTGTAAGTTTTGGCGCGACCCTGTACATCTGCTGACTTTCTTATCCGTACAAGGACGTGTATCTTGATCTCTAAGGTGTTAAATAGATCAGACCGATCATACTAACTAGAACTAGGCTACCAGAGATGCCCTGACCCTGACTACCGCGTATCGGCTTCTCGCAAAGTGGGCAACCGCATCCTGGACGGTTGCCATCAAGGAGAGATCTAAATAGAAATATTTGATCTCTTTCGCGAGACAACCACTTAGACGGTCCAATGGATTCCATTCTATTGTGTCAGCCATTGCGCGACAGGTGTAGATGTCTTATTAATCGATGGCTGAATAATGTTCTCAAAAATGTAGTACAGAACTTCTAATCACAATGGGCAAACATAAATTTATGTTATATGTGTGGAAAGGAAGCTCTAAATACTTAGGTTATTTTAGAAATATTGTCCTTTGATGTTACATTAAACTAGAGCATTGCGTATATTATATTATGTCCCGAATCATTTAATTAAAATAGTGACTGACGCGGAATAAAATTCACAGAATTAAATTATTTTTTTCTTCTCACATTGTACATTTGTTTCATTTATATAATATTATTGTTTTAATGTAGAAGTATTATTTTTACTTTTATTGGAATACACTTATATACATATTTCAACTATAAAATTTAAATTTGATAGAATTTTTTATTTTTTATTTATTATATTATTTCTTATACTATTACTATTTATATGATTGATCATTTTATTTTTTTGAGTTGCTTACTAAAATTATTCAGTGTAAATGAATTATTGAATTACATACTTCTTTATAAACATAAAGATATACTATAATTAAAAGTAAGCATGAATAATAAAAAGTTGATAAACTGTATCATAATAATATTTTATAAATTTGGATTTGGTTAACAATTTATGTCCTATAATGTACGTAGACTTTTGTATATCAAAACTATACTAATATCATGATAATCTAAAATTTCATAAATAAAATGAATATAAAATTATGAGATAATTAAATTTCTTTGATAAGAGTGTGAATCAAAATATTCCACGTATGTCTTTCTCACATTTGTGACGCAACTTCTGCGCAACTTGACAATAAAATTATCTAAAAAATTATTGGAATTATGCATATATGTTGTAAAACATATGGTAGGTATATAAAACGTATTATGACTATTACGAAAAATTGTAAAAATTTATCTTGAAAAAAATTCTGAAATAATAATATTTTCTCGTATTAGAGTCGATAAATAAAGGTGTGGGCGCCGAGTGATATAAATATTATTTTTACGCGCAAAAGTCATGCGATGTATTTTCTTCGCGAATTTGAAGATCCCGAAAAAAATATAAATATCGAATTCAATTTATATGATGATGTTATATACACGTCATTGGCCTGTTCAATATAAATAACATTTTACAAGTTTTACATTTTACGTTTTTAAAGAAGTATCTGCTAATGAAACTTAATGTCTTCATGCAAATTTCTAATGATGTGCAGATTCGTTTGACAAATGATGACATATTTATCGATTAATATTTTAGAGCAAACGACTTCAATTATTA